AGGATTGTTCTGTGTGCCTGAGCTGTGAGCAGAGCTGCTGACATTTTGTGTGGAGTTCAGAGCCACACACTAAGGTAGTACAGAATCTGAAAAATATAAAAGCTAAATCTTAAGGCATCAAAAGCTTTTCTCATTCCAACCCTGCCATGGACAGGGACACCTCCCACTTGACTCTGGAGCACGAGGGATGACAGGGAGACGTGGCTGGAGCACATTGCTGGGGACAGCTCGAGGAGCGGCTGCCAACAGCCGGCAGAGCCACGCCGTGTTCTCCATTTGTAAATTATCAATAAATGACTCCTACAGTCAATAGATAAATTATTCACAAAGGAAACAGCAGGTTCTAATCATCTCCAGATTAATGCCTTCCTGGCAGAGCCTGTGCTAACACAAATAATTGCCTTGGCATGTGCCAAGCTGTCCGGCGGATTTCAGCAGCACGAGGCTGTCCTGGGTGAGCTGTCAGCCACAGGTAACACAAACGCCTCACCTTTTTGGGGCTTTAAACCCTGTGTCCCATAACCTTCATGCAGAACAGATAGCTCTGGTTATCCTAAGGGGGTGGGTTGGCTCTCCATTGTCCAGCTGTGCTCATCCAGTGATGATGAGAACATGTCCTGGGTTGTAAAATAGGTGTGAATTCTATTTCCATCTATCAGGGCTGGGGCAGTTCTCTGCTGTCCATGGGGCACTTTTCTTTATCTCTCCCACAGCCAATCCTTCCTCCAGGAAATATGTCCTATTCATGGGCCATTAATTATTAATTATCTTCTGTTCATGGCCACTGAGTGTCCCTGCATGGCTGAGAAAATTCCATCATCCTATAGGGAGATGCTCCGCCCAGGGGAGGAGCCAAACATTCCTACCTGGATCCAATCTGACCTGGGAACCACTGCATTCCCAGAGGAGCAGCTTTCTTCCCCCTGCATTCCCAGAGGAGCAGCTTTCTTCCCCCTGCATTCCCAGAGGAGCAGCTTCCTTCCCCCTGCATTCCCAGAGGAGCAGCTTCCTTCCCCCTGCATTCCCAGAGGAGCCCAGGCCCATCTCCCCCAGCCCTGGAGCTCCAGAGGAAAACTCCCCCCTTGTGCAGATCCTGCTCCAGCAGAAGCACAGCTGGCACTGCAGGAGGGCTGAGCCCCCCTGGGATGGGGCTGAGCCACTCCCTGACCCACAGGGGACAGGGCTGCTCTGGCTCTGACAGTGCTGTTTGGTACTACTGCATTTGTATTTTAATTTTTCTAATAAAGAACTGTTATTCCTACTCCCATATCTTTGCCTGAGAGCCCCTTAATTTCAAAATTATAACAATTCAGAGGGAGGGGATTTCCATTTTCCATTTCATGGGAGGCTCCTGCCTTCCTTAGCAGACACCTGGCTTTTCAAACCAAGCCAAGACAACATTCAAGCTTAGCTTGAATCCAAGCTCAGCTCTTCAGGACTTGTTTCCAAGTCCCTTTGGAAACTGGGGGGATGTTACTGAAGTGGGGCAGTTGGTTCAAATGAGGAAAAAAAAAAATCCCAGCAGGAGGTTTTTTTCACACTCGATTTGAATGCTTGAATATGGATATGTTGTTGGAGTTTGATCTTGTTTATTCTCTGCACATAATTCATCCTGCTTTACTCTGAATATATAATTTGAGACTAGCAGGGACAGCAGAAGGAAATCTTGTTTGCATGAGTGTGGCTGGATTTGCTGGACAAATTCAGTGCCAGGGCACTGGCAGGGAGCAGACTCAGGAACATTCAAAGCCTCTGTGAGACAAAAAGAGGTCACATAAATAAATGTGTGTGTGAATGTTTCCTCCACAGGCCTGGTGACAGTTTCATAATGCTGAAATCCTGTTAAAAGCTAATGAGAATTTGGAATTGTCCAAAATTGGAGCAACTTTTTCCTGAATGTCTACAAATCTCACTGAAATGAAGTTTGATTTAAAGCCTCATGAAAAAGTTAAATTAAAAATAGCCACTGAGGTGTGAGTTTTCCATTTTGAGCCCGTCTCCTTTTGGGAACAGGTTTGTTGGTCCTCACATGTGCTGACAGATTGCAGAGCTGCAGTGGCAGTTTGAAGTGAAATTTATCTTTTTTTAAAAAAATGTCTTCAGGAGAAAGAAAAACAGGTTGTTCCTCTCTCTGAATCCAGCAGTTTTGTCAGTGCAAACTGAAATATTAAGGGAATAGTGATTAGGCAAAGTAAAAACTCCTGTTGTTTTGACATGGACAGAAATAATTTAAATACTTTTTAAAAAAAGACTTGGTCATGAGAGGATAATAGAATAAGATTGTTAATTCAGCACTTTCTTTGAGGAAAATGAGGTGGTTAATTTTGAAGCCTTCATGAGAGATTGGCCTCATCTTCTCTGAGATTTTTTTCCAGTAGCTGCTTCTCAGTGAAGAACCCATGGATGCAGCTGCAGGAGGATTCCCCCTTCCATCAGGAGAGTCTGGGAGCACCTGAAATGTTGTCAAAAATCAGATGTGAAAATCCATTTTGATCACCATCCTGTATTTCTCCCTTGATTTATGGACCTTGTTTTACCTTGAAATATTACAATTTATATTACTCAAATCACATTTCTGGTGTTGGTGGTCAGAGGTACCCAGACAGAGGAATACAATGTTCTGTTGAAGGATAAAATATCTTCAGGACTTTGTTAGGGAAGCTTTGGTACAGCTTCAAAATCTAAGACAGGAGCTGCTCAAGCCTTTAAAGCACATGGAGAAGATTCTGTACCTCTTAATAAATTCTAGTGATGAGAGAACAAAGAATGGAAAATCAAGGATCTAATCCATGGCCATGTCCAAATTATGGAATATCAAGGCACAAAATCAGTTCAGTATAATTATTTAAATCTATTTATATAGTTAGGTCATAGATTTTGAGTAGAGTGCTTTTAATAAAAGTTATTGATTTATTTAATAACTGATAAAAATTCTCAATTTTTTTTTCTCATTTAACTCCTCAATTATTAATCCTCACTTTAGTAATTATCCTTGTAGATTTTAAACCCACAGTCTTAAATGTTGCTGTGATCTTCTTGGCAATAAATGGCATTAGATCATGTCCATAGACATCTCAGGTGAGGTCAGAAAATACTGGCATTTCACAGGAGGTTGTGACGAGAGAACAAAACTTTAAGGAAACTGTGCTGTCACCTTGATGTTATTCCTTGGCATCTTTGCTGCAGAGCCATAGTTAAAACTCCATGCTTGCACATGCTCTGCTAGGAAAGTCTCCTTTCATCTAAACTTTGTGTTTTTATAATAATTCTTTCCATTTAATTTCAATTTATATCTTATAAAATATCTTTTTTTTTTCTTTTGAAGCTCAGAATTTCTTTTTTCTTTAACACAAATCCTAATTTTTGTGGATTATGAATTTATGTCATAAAATAAGGAGCTGATTTTTCCTCTTAGTAGCTGTTTATGATATAATATGAACTAAGTTATTTGCAGCTCATTTAAAATGAGACGCAATTGTATTCTGGACATGTGCTGCTTTTCTTCTGGGGTTTATTTTATTATGCATTGGGAAGTTCTGACTGAAATCAGCAAAAATATTGATCAGTATTGCTTGTGGCATGGCATGGATTTGGTCAGGCTGCTTCATGGCTAGACTCCCATGGGGAGTTTAACCAATAATTCAGGAAGGAAAAGTCACCTCTATGGGATAGTTCACATCTGCAGTTTCTCTCTGGAAACAGGCTCCTGATCAAAACTTAAATTTAAATGCAATAAATGTATTTTAGAAATATAAATAATCTTTCCACACTTGTGGAACTGATTGTTAAAAGAAACCAGTTAAATCCTCTGACTGATTTTACTGGAACCAACCAGAACATTACAGCCCCTCTTATCAGTGAATAATTCATGTCCTATGAGTGGAAAACCCAACAAAACCAAACCAAGGTGGGTAAATATCTCTGCTTAAGAGTTTAACAGCTCATCTTTTGGGTAAGACTATTATAAAGTCATTTGGAGGGGGAAGCTCATACATAAAAATGAATGTTGCCATGCAACAAGTGCTAAAGAAAGAACCTCAAGATTTAAGCCGTAATTAATTTGCCATAGTAGCTGGGAATGTTCAGGAATAAGGAAATTTGGAGGCAGCAGTGTTAATTAAGGCTGATTTGTGAGAAACCACTGGCCTGTAATTGATAACTTTGATGTGATAAGAAGTCCAAGTGATGTTTACCCTGATTGTAGCAATATCTGTGCTCTTTACTCTTTATGCAAGAGAATTTTCTGCTCCTCTGATTTGCCAGAACTGCTTTGCCAGGCTCTGAGGCCTTAGACAGAAACTGGCTTTGTAGAAAAAGCAAAGAGATTTTGGGACACAATGAACCTCTAACTTTTTTCTTTTTGTGATTGAGTTCTTTGTAGATAAAGCTGAATTCATCCATTGAGTGAGAGGCAAGAGAGCTTTGGTGAAGCTCTCAAATATTGAGGTGAGTTGATGACCATAAAAGCATGGAAGTATAAACAGGAATTGCTTTCATTTTAATCTGTACATTCTCATCTTAAACTCCCCAGTGAGGAGCTGAAGCCTGCACAGCCATGGAAGCAATTTAATGCATATAAAGAGAAATTCTGGATATTGGTGGAATTCAGGAGGAAATATTCCTGCAATCAGATCACACCTTCCTGGGGCATGTTGTTTTTCTCCCTGAAGGAATTAATCTTTGCCTCACAGAAGACAAATGATGAAGGAGGTGAGTTCTCTGTGAGGCACTGAAATGATGGCTAATTTTTGAGCACTTTCCAAATGATCCATGGAAAAAATGAACATAAAGGTTAAGTTCTGCTGCATGGCTGTGATGCAAAGGGCAGGTTTCTAGTCCAGCAGGTGCTGAAGCAAGAAGAGACATCCCATTCCAGGAGCTGACACAATTATGGATTAGGTAGGATTAGGGAACATTTGCTTCATTTCTATGTTTGTCGCTTGTGAAAAACGCCAATCACTAGGTTTTTAAAATTTTAAAAGTTTAATAATAATAAAATGGTTATAAAAATAACAATACAATTAGAGTAATAAAGTTTAGAGTTAGGACAATTATAAGACAATAAAAAGCAAAGGATTACGGATGTCTGGATGCTCTTGGACACTAAGTCAGGAAAAGCATCCCTTGTGAACAAAGGAATAACCTTAAACCAATACACTTGTTGCATATTCATAAATCCTTCATGGTTATTCATACATCCTATTCTAAACAAGAAACTCTGTCTTTTGTATGCCAACTGTTTCCTTTAATCCCCTGGCGTCTTCGAGTCTGAGCAAGGTCTGAAGAAATGAGTTTCTTCTGAGAAGAAGCCATAAATTCCTCTCCTTTGGAAGATTTAGGTGCTCCTCGAAGAGAGTATCTCATTCCTAAAAAAATTTTAACATTATGTTGGAACCTAAAACTACACTTAACACAATATGTAAGAGAATTACTACAGCATAGCTTTCTAACATTACACATATAACATTCATTGTAACATTTGCGAAAAGCCAAACATAAAATCTGCATTTTTCACATCTCCCAAGTGCCTTTGCCTGGTGTTCCAAAAACTCTCTGGTTTCAGGTGGCTGTGAAGGCTCCTCTGAATTCCAGTGGCAGGGGCTGCCTGAGGCCTCGCTGCTTTTGACCTTCACTGCAGCTTCAAGCCCTGCAAGGAGTCCCTATCTGGAGAGGATTTTTATCTTTGCTGTCACCAAACACGACGTGTGCTTGCTGAAAAGGGACAGAAGCTGTGCTGCCTTATCTCACCCAGCAGAAATCAATATCAGCCCTGATAACCCTCCCCTCTGCAGCCCTGCTGGGGCAGAATCCAGTGCTGCCCATCACCTTCACACCACCAGATACCAGTCCCCCAGAGATGATTCAAAACATGCAGCTCGGAGATTAATAGATAGCATAAAATAAAATTACAGATCAATGTGGCAAAGGATCATTCTAATGTGTTTGTAATCATTCCCCCAGCCATTGGCTGGGCTATCTCCCTTATATATTGCCAGGGTTGCTTATCTGGAGGTAGCACAAAACCTCCCTGAGCGTTTTATCACCTCCTTTAAAAGTGGAGTCAATTACAACTCCAGATTAAAGTAGTGATGTACTTCAGGGAATAAAAATGATATCCTGTGATGTGTTTTCTGAAACTGCTGGTGGGGCCTGGCTGAGTCATAACTCGGAATTTAATGGGATTAATGGGAAGGCTTTGGGGTCGATCCCATCGTGGGCTGGGGGAGGATCAGCTTCCTCCTGCACTGATGGCGTGGGCAGGACCTAAAGGCAAGAACCCCAAGAAGGGCAAAGGGGTTTCATCTGCTCAACATCAGAGAGATTCAGCCTGCATATTAAACAAAAAGTGTGGGGGAAATTTGAGGAGGGCTATGCATCTTACTCAGTGAGCCAATTACTGGTTGTACCAGAACTTCTTATTGCATATTGCACCAATACAATTGTTCTGCAGAGGCAAGAGGTGTCAGTGACCCTCAAAAATGTCAAAATTGTTGCAGAATCTTCTGGGTTTCCTTTCAGGGCAAATTGGGTGAGAAGCACAGAATTCTAATTGCACCAGAGACATTTTAGATGGTAGGGAAATTTTCTTGGTGGGCAGAGGATGTACCAGAATTTTACTTGAGAACGGGATGCTTTTGTTCCTTTTTCAGCATCTGGATGTCCTTTTGGGTAGCTCTCTGATCTGTGAAGTGGCCATGCTCAAAATAGATACTTCAGTTGTTTCACAAAGCCCTCCGTATTTACAGGTGGAGCTGCTGAGACCCCACTGGAAGCAGATTAAGAAAGAAAATCCTTAATATCAGGTAATGTGTGAAAGGGAGGAAATAGCTTTGGGTTAGGAAATTTGCATTACACAAGTTTCTGAATGTTTTGTTTTAAAATTCGTGTTTCTTGAAACTTTACTCTGAAGTTCTTGATCAATTCTAATCATTCCTGTACCTACACAAGAAAGAGAGACATCTGTGCCTGTTCAAATATAAAAAGGTTTGTAAGCTTTTTTCCTCCATCTGAATCTTGGCTCTTATTCCTTAAGTTGTTTTTTTTTCTTCTGGAGCGAATCCAGTTCAATCCACATTAAAGTTGCATGGCAGCAAGAGAGATTACTGCCCATGTCTTAACATAAAGATAAAAAAGGGTTTTCTGGCAAAGGAGGTCAGAGATGATAAAAGGCAAAACTGAACTGTGAGTGTTACTGACTTGAGGAGGGGGAGCAGGGTGTGGGATGAGATTGGGAAGCAAAGGATCAATGCAAAATGCAGCTCCAGAGCCCAGAAAATGCACTCTGAGGTCAGAGGTTGGATCTGAAAATCTGCTCCAGTGACGTGTTGCATAATGTGAGATATTCTGAGGCTTTTCGGTGAGGTGCCAGTTCATTTTTAGACATTGCCAGTTTATTCAGATTTCACTTGGTGTGACAGCCTTCCAACTCAGATTGCCTTCATTTGATCTGCATCACTCCAAAAGGAGACAAGGAACAATTGGCTTCTGCATTTGGAGAGCCAAGCTAGATTCTGATGGAATTAGGTGGAGGAATAGTGCCTGGAAACCTGGAATAATGAGGGTTAAACAGCTTTGCAGGGGCTGGAAGATGATAGATTTAAGTAGTTAGCAATGTACATTCTGTACCACATTAAAAAAAAAATTAAGATTATACGTATATATGTATGTAGTGTAGTATATGGGTTTCCCTTCAGTCAAATGCAAAGATAAAAAAAACTAATTAAAGAATTTCCTAGTTGATATACAGGAAATATTTATGTCCATGGATGTATGGTTTTTTAAATCTAAGTTTAAAAGGGTTGCCCTGAATTGTTTGTTTCTGGTGTTCCCTTTCTTAATAAATTGCTCATAAAGGAGTGGTCTCCAGGATAAAATCTGGGGGAATATAGAGATTGTTTTCAGAATGGGATTAAGGACAGAAGTAATCATTATGGTCAAACAAAACAAATTTAGTAAACATAAACCCCATTTTTTTGGCAGGTCTATCAATATTTTGCTAAAGGGAGATGGGAGTAGAGCAAGGCATGAGGTGGGAATTGGGCGTGAGGGACAGAGCTGAACAAGGAGATCTGAGACAGATCTGGGCTGGAATACAGAGAAGAGATAAATAACTGGGAAGGGAAGGAAGGAGAGGACTGGCCTGGCCACATCCATTCCCAAACTGTTTAATGGGACAGGACAGGGACACAGGGGCACAGGACAGGGCCATGCCCACTTTGAGAGAATTCTCTGCAGTGCCCAGGTACTGAGGGAGCTCTCAAGGAGGGGATATTTTGGGCAAGGTGCACTGGTTAAGCCCTGGGCAGTTTCCTGCTTTTCAGACAGGTTTTTTTTCCTTCCCCAGGAAATAATGCAGATTCCTTTTTGGCATTTGGCTTTCACCAGTGGATCAGTGTTGAGAATATTTCAGTAGAGCCTGGAAAACCAAGAGGATCACACATGGTGCAGGGAATTGGGCTAGCAGACTCTTGAGGTATTTAGGCACCAATGCAGGGAAATTTTTCCTTCTAAACTGTTGACTATGTGGATCTGAGAGAAGGGATCTTTGGGATTTATCAAAGAAGCTTTGGCAAACCAATCCTCAGGCAGGCACTGGCTGCTGCTCACTCCCAGCAGGTGATAAAATAAAGGGGCCACAGAGCTTTGGATTCCTCCTAGGGTTGGTTTTGCTCCCACAGGATTATTCAGCCTGGTGTGGAAGGAAGCCATGGACCTTTTATTCAGGGGAGCCCTCAGCAGTGGGCTCAGCACAAGACATGGAGTTAAATTCTCTTGCTGATCTCGGTGCTGTGTCTGCTCAGTGACCTTTGCCATGCCTTTGGAGGAGGATCAGGAATTAAACCTTGTGGGAGATGAGGAGGTGCCATGCTCTTGTTCACACCAAAATTTAGAAGGCTGCCTTCTTCCTGTCACCTGCCTCACAGCACTCAGTTTCTGGTTCTCCTGGTCTATTCTGTGACCCATTTTGCTTTCAATTAGAGTGACAGGAACTTTTCTCAGCTCAGGAATTGCTGGCACTTGACTCCAGCTCCAGTTCCTGTCTTGCACTGTGCTGACTGCCACAGCTCCAGACATCTGATTGCCAGTGGGGTTGCAGGATCTCACATCCTGTTGCCTTTTTGAGCTGAGTTCTGACTTTCAAAGTGCACAGATAAAACAGCAGAGCCTGATTCTCGCAGCAGTGGAGGAGCTGGGGTGTCTGAGGATGCTTTCAGCGAGTCTGAGAACGTTTTCACTCAGCAATTCCAGCTGCACTGCCTCCCTGGCAAATCCAGGTTTGATACGTGGCACTGGGATGAACTTCTCTGCATTGCAAGGCTCTAAACCACCAGGTTTGTTGGGAGTAAAAATAAAACCTTGCTGCATTTCTCATAGTTGGAATTCTTCACAGTCAGACTGTGTTTTTCAGAGCTTTCCTGCTCCATCCCACCTCTGACAGAGACAAAAATGTGATATGTGCTGTGCCATTCTGTGGAAATTTATACCCAAACCCCACCTGAGCTTTGATTGGAATCTTTATACACCGACAAAGCACCTTGCAGCAGTTTTCCCCTTTCTGTTACTTACAATAATTAGTATTTCTCAATCAATAAATTGCTGCTGCATTTGCC